GACCACAGACTCTAACCGGGTACTGTAGCCAAAATCAGATCACAAGTAAGCTAGACCACGGACACTAACCGGGTACTGTAGCTAATAGAAAAGCAGGGCATTATGGATACAAGGTCATAAGCTGAGTTACCTCCTAGCTAAGGCTCAGACTATCAGACTCAAGTCTGCTACATTAGTTTACAAGGAGCTGACCGCCCGAAACAACGTCGAAAAAAGTTCTACTTCCCAACGACATCCAAAACCTCGCAAGTCTATGGCAACACTAGTCTAAGCCTAGACTAAGGCCAAACATACTTCAAATCAATATTATCATATACACCACAAGGTATGGATGTTCAATAATATCAAGAGTTATGCTGTCATAATTCAACAATTTCTCGAAATAAGGGCTAAGGCAGGAATTATAGAAATTTAGCATGCTCGACACCCGAACCCCTCCATACTCAAGCAAATCAATAAACAATTGCCTAAACATGCTCAATCTCATGAAGGGGAAGCCATAGCCTACCTGAAAGTCGATCACGCGTGCTCCAACTAACGGTACTGGAGCTTTTCCCCTCCGAACGGTTTCCAAATGCTTCCCCACTATCAAAAGGTTAATCACCTCGTCATTACGAATATGTTGACACCAAAATAATATTTTTTGGAGACGGACCCAAAATTGGGTCTAAAACAGGATTGTGGGACCCACAATTGGAATCCCGAAAACGAATCCGTGAAAACGTCCCTAATACCTCACTAAACTAATACCCAAAAATTTAGCACAAAAAGATGCCTAAAACATAGCAAATCAGCCACAACAATAAAAATCATTAATAAGTCTTGACTTACGACTTGGCAGCCCCTTGATCACCAATTTCTAGAAAAAACGAGACCCTTCCAACCCAAACAGATTATATCACGATGATCCTTGTGAAAAACTCTACAAGTTAGCCTCAATAATGACTCAAAACGGACCTAAGATGATCAAGATCTAACCTTTCAAAGTTCAACAACAATTCATTCCGAAAATCACTCTAGCAGTAGCTAAATTCGATTCCTTACCTCAAACGAAGCCTCCCCTCGCGTTTCTGAGTTCACCTCTAGATTCCCCACGAAATTATCTTGAAATTAGCCTTTTGAATCACCTAATTTGAGCTTAAAATGGAGGAGAGATCTGTGTTTGAAGATGAGGGGAAAAAAATGGACGAAAATTGTCCTTAATTCTGGAAATTTCCGGATTACAACACGCTGCCAGGTGGTGTCGCGTGTCTCTGCCACGTCACCACCGCGTTAGAATGCAACAACTCTTCAAACATAAATTTTGATGTTCCGGACTCGTTCGTAGCCGGGAAAACACAAACCATATACGGAATCTGATTGGAAAGTATATTTCGGACTCAACGGTGAAGTCAGAATTTTCATTGGAAATCGCTTCGATGAAAAGTGGGTCCCACACCCAGTATCGTTTTTAGCCAGATTCCACAACAGGCATCTAAAGCCTCGGGAAGTGAACAAAGGGTCGTTCTCGACAAAAATCGATATTTCGAAGCTAACCTAGCTGTCAGAATTTTCATCTGAGCACGTCTTCCAAGAAGGTTGACCAAAGTCAACTTTTCAAGTTATAAAATCTCCAAAACAGGGAAATGGGCCTAAAACCCAAACGAACTACCAGGCGACGGAACAGTCAGTGCCAGCAAGTCATAAATGACCTGGGGTCGCCACAGGAACGCTCTAAATGATGGAATGAATGCTTTAATTTAAAAATGACCTGGAGGGTCATTACAATATCCACTACTAAAAGAACTTTCGTCCGCGAAAGTAAGAGTCAAGAAGTACCTGAAGGCTCAAATAAGTCGGGGAACTGCGCCCGCATCTCATGCTTGGTTTCCCAGGTAGCCTCCTCAACTGTACGGTGTCTCCAATGGACCTTAACCACAGGAATGGCTCTGGAACGCAACCGTCTAACATCTCTGGCCAAAATAGCAACTGGCTCCTCAATGTATCTCAAACTGTCATCCAAGTCAACTGCATCATACTGAATCACATGGGACTCATCTGGAATATACCAGCGCAACATCGAAACATGAAAAACTGGGTGAATAGCTGAAAAAGTCGGGGGCAAAGCTAACTCATATGCGACCTCCGCAACTATCCTCAATATCTCAAAAGGACCTATATACCTGGGGCTAAGCTTGCCCGGCCTCCCAAATCTCATTGCACCCTTCATGGGCGACACACAGAGGAATACTCTATCACCAACAACAAATTTCAACGGTCGACGCCAACGGTTTGCATAACTCTGATGTTTACTCTGGGCTGTCCTGAGCCTATCTTGAATAACCCTCACATGATCTAAAGCCTTTCGCATCAAGTCTGTACAGCGCGGCCTGGGCTCTGTAGACTCAAACCAACCAACTGGAGAGCGACAACGCCTACCATATAAGGCCTCGAATAGGTCCATCTGAATAATCGAGTGGTAGTTGTTTTGTTGTACGCAAACTCTGCCAAAGGCAAATACTGGTCCCACTGACCCCCAAAATCCATAACACAAGCCCGCAACATGTCCTCGAGAACCTGAATCGTGCGCTCCGACTGACCATCAGTCGGCTGGTGGAAAGCTGTACTAAGGCCAACACGGGTAGCCAACTCATCCTGGAAGGTCCTCCAAAAGCTAGATGTGAACTGTGGGCCCCGGTCTAGGATGATGGAAACAGGCACACCATGAAGACGAACCACCTCTCGAATGTAGATACGGGCTAACCTCTCAGCACTGTAGGAAGTATGGACAGGAATGAAGTGTGCTGACTTGGTCAATCAATCCACGATGACCCAAATACTATCAAGACCACGGGAAGTGCGGGGTAATCCTACAACGAAGTCTATGGTGATCCTCTCCCATTACCACTCAGGAATGGGTAATCTCTGAAGCTCGCCACCAGGCCTCAAATGCTCGGCCTTAACCAGCTGACAACTCAAGCAACGCGATACATAAACCACAATATCTCTCATCATGCCGCTCCACCAGTAGTGCTGTCTCAAGTCCCAATACATCTTAGCTGTGCCCGGATGAATAGAATATTTGGACTCATGGGCCTCGGTAAGAATCATCTGAATCAAACCCCCAACTCTTGGAACACAAAGTCGATAACCAAATCGTAAAACCCCATCTAAATCTAAGGTAGCCAGGCCAGTGTCACCTCCCAAAACTCGATCTCGAAGTACCACTAAGTCCTCATCCTCAAAGTGACGTCTGCGAATCCGATCCAGCAGAGATGACTGAGCATCCACATAAGCTAGTACACACCGGGAATCAGAGATATAAAGCCGTATCATCCAGTTAGCTAAGGACTGGATGTCCAAAGCTAATGGTCGCTCCGTAGTAGAAAGAAAGGCTAGACTACCCATACTCACTGCCTTCCGACTCAAGGCGTCCGCTACTACATTTGCCTTGCCCGGATGGTAGAGAATAGAGAGGTCATAGTCCTTCAGGAGCTCAATCCAACGACGCTG